TATGAATAAATAGGTTTCTTTTCTGAATAGTAGAATGTGACAGTTGGATTTCTGCTGGGTGTCTGTGCTGGGACCTTGGCTTTTTGTAATTTGTACCAATGACTAAGATGAGGGAGAAGAGTCTGGGCATATAAACTTGCAAATGAGACATAGGTAGGAAAGTTTGTTGTGAAGTGGCAATAAGGAAGGTGCAGATGAATATAGATAGGTTGAGTGAGTGAACAAAGTTTTGGTAGATGAAGTACAATATGGAAAGAAGTTGTTCACTTTGGCAGGAAAAATTAAAAATCAGAATTATTGCTTAAATGGAGAATGACTGCAGAATTCCACAGTGCAGAGAAATCTAGATGTTCTCTAGCATGAATCACAAAAAGTTTGCATGCAGGTACAGCAAATTACCTAGAAGGCTAATGGAATACTACCCTTTATTATTGAACATAAAGTGAGAATTCAAATCAAATCAAAATACTATTGATGCTGAGGATGTGAAATAAAAATCAGGAAGTGCTATAGAAACTTAGCAGATCAGGCACCGTCTGTGAGGTTCTCCATCATGTTACCCTTTTATTATAAAATACTGATGTTTTTTTCACATGTATAGGGCCTTAGTGAAACTACATCTCAAATATTGTATGCAGTTTTGTGTGTTATTTTTTTAGGAACAATGTAAATGTGAAGCAGACAGTTCAGAAGAGGTTTACTAGATTAATAACTGGACGAAGTGAGTTGTCTTATGAGGATAATTGGGGAGGACTAGGCTGGGCCTGTTTTCACTGTCGAAGAGTGAGGCGTGATTTCATTGAAATGTGTAAACCTGAATGGTTTTAACAAGGTGTGTGTGGAAAGGATGTTTCCTTCTTGAGGTGAGTTCAGAACTGGGGATGGGAGTGACTGTTTAAAAAAGGTAGTTGCCATTTTAGGATATAGATGAAGAGGGTTGTTTTCTAAGATTTCTGCAACATAGGAACTCTATCTCAGGAGGCGGTGTAAAGGTGTTTTTTTTTAATATTTCTAAGATTGAGTTTGATTGATTCTCTTGCCTAACAAAAATCTAGGGTTATTGGGGTAGGTGGAAATATAGAATTTGACATTCAAACAGATTAACCATGATCTTAATGAATGGCAGTGCAGGCTCGAGGGTCCCATGGCTTATTGCTGCTCCAAATTAGTAAGTTTAGAAGTTTGTATGGGCAGATATCACTGGGGGCCAAGTGCTGGAAAATGGAATTGGGAGTAGTTACTTGTTGTTTATGACTGCATGAACTCAATGGGCCATACGGCCTTCTTCTGTTCTGTAAATTTCTAAACAAGGCCGACATCAGCTCTGGCAGCTTAGCCATTACCAGCTCCTTGTCCCCTCAGATTTCCCTATGGACATGGACATGACTCTTCCACACTCTCATCTCGCAGAAATGAAAATGCAGCAAACAAAAGAGATGGATTGGCTGCAGTAGGCAGTTGCCTGACTTATGCTTCGTGCCTCTGCCACAATAATCCAGTCCTTGCTGTTATAAAATAATAGCTAATAAATCCAATGAGAAATTCAAAGGAAATGTATTCACCCAGAAAATGGTTGGAAGGTGGGATTTGCTACCATATTGGAGTAGTTTAGATGAATAGCAAAGATGCAAATAAGGGGGAGTTAGATAAATGCAGGGGAATGAAAGACGTAAAAGAATATGATGGCAGAGTTGGATGAAGTAGAATGGAAGGAAGGTTGTGTAGAATCTAAGCACAAACATGGACCATTGGATTGAATGGCTTATGTCAGTTGACAGGGAGGTGTTATTGAACATGGTGGGACTGGCAGCCTGAAGTGTATTTGTTTAAAACAAGGAGTATGACAGTAAAACAGATGAACTTAGAGTTTGGGTTACTGCATATTACTGCGATATTATAGCAATTGCAGAGACTTGGCTGTGAGAGGGACAGGATTAGCAGCATACTGTTCCAGGATTTAGATGTTTCAGACAGGGATGTAAACAAGGTGGGGGAGTTGCGTAACTGATAAGGGAGAATATCACAGCTAGAAATGTAAGGACTGCAGATGCTGGAAGTTAGAGTCAATAAATGTGGAGCTGGGAAAACACAGCGGGTCAGACAGCATCCGAGGAGCAGGGAAGCAATGTTTCAGGCTGAAACCCTTCGTCAGGACTCAGCTGTACTGAGGGAGGACATCTTGGAGTGAGGTCAGTAAGGCCATATGGGTAGAGCTCATGAATAGGAGTAGTGCAATCACTTTGATGGGATTGTGCTACAGGCCTCACAACAGATAGAACAGATATGTGGACAGATTGTGGAAAAATAGGAAAACAACAGGATTGTTGTGGTGGGAGATTTTAACTTCTAACATATTGATTGGGACTCCCTTAGTGCCAGGGGCTTGGATGGAGAGGAGTTTGTTAGGTTCATTCAGAAGCAATATGTAAATAGTCCAACATGGGAAGGGGCCATATGTGACTTGGTATTGGGAAATGAGCCCAGCTAGGTGATCACAGTTTCAGTGGGGAAGCATTTTGGGAGCAGTGATTATAATTTCATAATTTTTAAAATGCTTTTGGATAAGGATAAGGGTAGTCCTCGGGTGAAAGTATTAAATTGGGGGAAGGCTAACTGTGACAATATTAGGCAGGAATTGGGGAATGTAGATTGGGGATGGCTGTTTGAGGGTAAATCCACACCTACCAAGTGGGAATCTCTTAAAGGCTAGTTGATTAGAGTTCAGGACCAGTATGTTCTTGTGAAAATGAAGGATATGGATGGCAATATTTGGTAACCTTGGATGACAAGAGAAAATCTGAGGTTAATCAGAAAGAAAAAAGAAGCATACAACAGGTTTAAGAAACAGAAGACAAGCAGAACTCTCAAGGTATATAAAGACAGCAGAAAATAACTTAAACAAGGAGTCAGAAGGGCGAAAAGGAACCATGAAATGACCTTGGTAAACAGGATTAAGGAAAATCCCAAGGTTATTAAAACATATATAAAGAGCAAGGGGAAAGAAAGGAAAAGCGTAGGTCCACTCATAGATATAGGAGGAAATTGGAGTCGGAGGATGTGAGTGAGGTCCTTTACTATTCTGTTGTAAACCTCAATCAGATCCTTAACTGAGGTCCTTAATACTTTGCATCAGTATTCATAAAGGAGAAGGGGATGGTGGATGATATGTCTAGAGAGGGATGTGTTGATATTCTAGGTCATGTCGATATAAAAAAGGAGGTGGTGTTGGGTGTTTTGAAAAGCATTAAGATAGACAAGTCCCTGGGACCTGATAGGATCTATCCCAGAATTCTGAGGGAGGCAAGGGAAGAAATTGCTGAGGTCTTGTACAAAATCTTTGTGTCCTCTTTAGTCACAGGAGAGTTCCCAGAGGATTGGAGAATAGCCAACATTGTTCCGTTGTTTAAGGTGGGCAACAGGGATAATTCAGGAGATTACAGACTCATGACCTGTACGCCACTGGAAGGGAAATTGTTGGAACAGATTCTAAGAGACAAGATTTACTCACATTTGAAAAGAATATGTACTTATTAGTGACAAGCAGCATGGCTTTGGCCAGGGGAGTTTATGTCTGTCAGATTTGGTTGATTTTTGAGGAAGTGACAAAGATGATTGATGAGGGCAGAGTGGTGGATGTTGTCTGGGAGACAATAAGGACTGCAGGTACTGGAAGCCATAGTCTGTAGGTGTGAGGCTGGAAAAGCACAGCAGGTCAGACAGCATCCGAGGAGCAGGAAAGTCAACTTTTCAGGCCGAAACCCTTTGTCAGGATTTGGGAAGGGGAGAGAAGCCCAGAAAGAAATCAAGGGAATGGAGCTGGGGAAGAGTAGGAGAGATGGTGATAGGTGGATGCAGGTATGGGGCTATTGTGATTGGTCCATGAGAAGGGTGGAGTGGATAAGTGAGTAGCAAGATGGACAGGTTAGGTCAGGTCGGGAGGGGGAGGGCTGGACTTTGGATAAGGCTGAGAGTGGAGGGATTTTGAGGCCGGTGAAGTCAATGTTAAGGCCAGTGTTGTAAGCATCCAAGGCGAAATATCAGGTGTTGTTCCTCCCATTTACATTTGGGCTCACTCTGACAGTGGAGGAGGCCAAGGATGGACATGTCATCAGGGGCGTTGGAGAGGGATTTAAAATGATGGCAACTGGAAGGTTGGGTTGGTTGATGTGTGCAGAGTTCAGAAGCTCGGTGAACCAGTCCCTGAGTCTGCGTTTGGACATCTTGATATAGAGGAGAACAAATCAGGAGCAACAGATACAATAGATCAGGTTGGATGAAGTGCAGGTGAATCTCAACTGGATCTAGAAGGATTGTTTAGGGCCTTGGACAGAGGTGAGGGGGAGGTGTAGGGATAGGTGTTGCACCTTTTGAGGTTGTAGGGAGAGGCACTGGCTGTGCTGGAGAAGCTGGTGGGCAGTGTAGAGCTTATGAGGGAGTCGCAAAATGAGCAGTCCCTGCGGAAAGCAGACAGGGGTGGGAAAGGAAATATATTTTTGGTGGTGGGGTCTGATTGTAGGTGGCTGAAATGTTCGGAGGATGATGATTTGGATCCGGAGTTTGTTGGGCTTCTACGTGAGGACTAAGGGAACTCTATCCTTATTGCTGCTGGGGGGAGGGGGTTTGCGGTCAGAAGTGTGGGAAATGGAGGAGATGCATTTGAGAACATGCTTACTTACAGAGGAGGGGAAATTATGATCCCTTAAGTAAGAGGATATCTGGGATGTCTTGGAGTAAAACTTCATCCTGGGAGCAGATTCGATGAAGGTGGAGGAATTGGGAGTATGGGATAGCATTTTTGCAGGAGGGTGGGTGAGAGGAGGTGTAGTTGAGGTATCTGTGGGAGTCAGTGGGTTTACATGATGTTAGTGGTCATTTGGTTTCTGGAGATGGAGACGGAGAAGTGCAGGAAGGGGAGGGAGGTGTTAGAAATAGTCCAGATGAATTTGAGGGTGGGGTGGAAGGTGTTGCCGAAGTTGATGAACTGCTCGAACTCCTCGCAGGAGCACGAGGCCGCACTGATGCAGTCAACAATAGAGCTGAGAAAGAGGTAAGGGATTGTTTCAGTGTAGTTGCAGAAGAGGTACTGTTCTACAAATTCTACAAAAAGGCAAGCATAGATCAGGCCCATGTGAGTGCCCATAGCCACCCCTTTGGTTTGTAGGAAGTGGGACGAATCAAAGGAGAAATTGTTGAGAGTAAGGACCAGTTCAGCCAAGCAAATGAGAGTATCAGCAGAAGGGAACTCATTGGTCCTTTGAGAGAGGAAGAAGCAGAGGGTTTTTGAGCTATCTGTGTGGGCGATACAGCTGTACAGGGACTGTACATCCATGGTGAAGATGAGCTGTTGAGAGATGGGGAATTGAAAGTTTTGGAAAAGGTGGAGGGGATGGGTTGCGTCCTAATGTAAGTAGGGAGTTCCTGAAGCAAAGGGTAAAGAATGGAGTCGAGGTAGGAGGAGATGAGCTCGGTGGGGCAGGAGCAGGCATAGATAACAGGTCAACCAGGGCAGTCGAGTTTATAGATTTTGGGTAGGAGATGGAAACGGGCGGTCTCAGATTGGAAAACTATCAGGTCAGCTGCTGTGGATGGGAGATCTCCCAAAGTGATGAGGTTGTTGGTGGTCTTGGAGATTATGGCTTGGTGATCAGATGTGGGGTCATGATCAAGGGGACGGTAGGAGGAGATGTCAGAGAGTTGGTGTCTGGCCTTGCGGCGGGTTTAATAGTGAAGTTGGGGTTGGAGTGAAGGGAGCGGAGGACTGCACGTTCCGATGGGGAAAGGTTGGAATAAGAGAGCAGGATGGAGAGATCCAAGCGATTGGTGTCACAGTGGCAGTTTGAAATGAAGAGGTCGAGGGAGAGTAGGAAGCCAGGAGAGGGTGTCCAGAAGGATGGAGTTTGCTGGAGGTGGAAGGGGTTGTTAGAGGGCGTGTTGGATTTCTGTTCAAAGAAATAGGCGCGGAGGCAGCGGCAGCGGAAAAAGAGCTCGACATCATGGCATGCGCGGAATTTGTTTACGTGTGGGTGCAGGGGAATGAAGGTGAGCCCTTTGTTGAGGACTGAGCTTTCGCCTCAGTGAGGGAGAGGTTCAGAGGAATGATGAATACCTGGCAGGGCTTGAGGCTGGGGCTGGTTGTAGAGCTGGAACCAAGAGTGGGGTTGGAGACTTCATCAGGAGTGGGTGTGTGCACTGATGTGGTCACGTGGGCGGAAGCAGAAGTAACGCGATCATCACTGACATCAGCAGTCACATGGTCATTGACATTGGTGGAAGTGGCAGTCATGTGTTTGTCGATATTGTCTGTATGGACTTTAGCAAGGCCTTTGAAGGGACCCTCATGGTAGGCTGATGCAGAAGGTGAAGTCACATGGGATCTGTGGTGAGCTGCTAAGATGGATACAGAACCAGCTTAGTCATAAAAGAGAGAACTGTGGTCAGTGGTGTTCCACAGGGATCAATGCTGGGACCCCTATTGTTATATGTATAAGATATAGTGAATGTAGGTGGTCTGATAAGTTTGCAGGTGATGCAAAGATTGCGGATGTTGTGAATTGTGAGGAGGATTACTGGAGGATACACCAGGATATAGATAGGCTGGAGACTTGAACGGAGAAATGGAAGATGGAGTTTAATTTGGACAAATGCAGAGTGATGCATTTTGGAAGGTTTAATGCAGGAGGGAAGTAAACAGTAAATGGCAGAACCCTTGGTAGCATTAACATACAGAGGGATTTAACTGTACAGGTCCACAGTTCCCTGAAAGTGACAACGCAAGTGGATAAGGTGACCAGAAGGCATATGGCATGCTTGCCTTCATTGGTCAGGGCACAGAATATAAACATTGGCAAGTCATATTGCAGCTGAACTTTATCAAGGCCACATTTGAAATATTTTGCACAGTTCTGGCCACCACACTACCAGAAGGATGTGGAGGCTTTGGAGAGGGTGTAGAAACGGTTTAGCAGGATATTGCCTGTTCCAGAGGGTCTCAGCAATGCGGAGGCATTGGAAAAAAACTGGTTTGTTTTCACTTGAATGTCGAAGGGGTGACCTGGTAAAGGTTTAGAAAATTATGAGAGGCGCAGATAGAATGGGTAGTCAGAGTCCCCTCCCAGAGTAGAAATGTCAGTTGCTGGTGGAAATTGGTTGAGGTAAAAGGGGGAAAGTTTTAAGGAGGTGTGAGAGACAGGTTTTTCGCACAGAGGGTGGTAAGTGGTTGGAACACGCTGCCAGAGGAGGTGATAAAAGCAGAAACAACAGCATCATGCATCTTGACAGATACATGAATATGCAGGGAATAGAGGGATGTGGACCATGTAGAGGCAAAAGTTTTTTTTAAGAGAGGTGTCAATGTGTCGGTGCAGGCTTCATGGGCCAGAAGGCCTGTTCCCGTGCTGTACTGTACTTTGTTCTTTTGCTCTTTGTACTAGTACTGTGAACTGTACTGTGAATGTAGTTTGTTTTTCAAACTGCATTTGCCCCTGTGTGTTACTGTGCAAATTGTTTTCAATTTGAAGTCAAGGAAAATGGATTTTATACACCAAATGTTGAATTTTCCCAGTCATATAGAAGCATTTATGAGGCAGGACTAGGAGCAAAGTTGTAAAACTGCATATTGGGTCAGCTAATTCTTGCTTTTGATTGAAGGAGGCATCAAAATGGTCTCCCATTTCACTCACCTATACTCACATCTCCGAGCAGGGCGCTGTTAATGTTAGTTTACATCCAGAGGAATAGAAGAGCAGCCTCAGAAAACTAGATTAGTTCTAGTCATTTCTGATGTCCCATAAAATTTGAGTCTTAATTTTGATACAAACAACTTTTTTTTTCTCTTTGTGAATCATTTCCACTATGTGGGAAACCTAACACTATACTTGTGAGAAAGAAGGAAATGCACAAAATTGATGAGATATAGGAAATAAACTCAGAAAACATGAACAGATATTAAACAACTGGAAGAGGAGTAAGGAAGAGCACAAAAATGAAAGACAAAAAAAAAGGGAAGGAACATTAATGATAAATGTGAAAATGATAGAAATTAACTATGTCTTTTATCGTGAATGTCAAATCTTAGTTTGCAATCAGTAACTTGATTTCTTTTTAATGAAAATATAGCTTCTGCAATGCAGATTTAATTATCAGTGTGAAAGGGTTATTTAAAACTCACATCCAGCTGAAAGTTGCCTCAACCTTGCAACAGGTTTTTTTGTTTTATCATTTTCCTTACAGTGTATTTGCTGCATTAGACCTCAGTACCCAACACCAGAGGAAAAATAAAAGAGCAAAAGCAACAGACAATTGGGGATTGCAACAAATGCAACAACTTGCATTTATGTAGCATCTCTAATGAAGAAAACTGCCTAAAGTGATTTTTAGAGGTGTGATTAGAGAAAATATTTGGCTAAACTGAGTCAAAAATATTAGGAGGGGCAACTAAAACCGTGATCAAAGAGCTGGATTTTAAGGAGCATTTTAAGGATATTAGGGAGGCCATGAAGGGCATGGAACACTTGAACTCGTATAATTACCAGAGGCCAGTGATTGGTAGATGGGCTTGCTTTGTTTGAATGTAACTGCCTGATTCAAAGTATAATTTATATTTTGTTTTTCATAGTTTCTCTGAAATTTATGGGTTATTTGAGTTTAGTGTGAAATGTAGACAATCATTTATTTTCCGGGTTGCTTGTACTGATCGCTTCAAGTCCATTATCGAGGGAATTGCATTCAGTGCAATGTGTAGCAGCAGTGTGTACCACCTACAAGGTGCACCGCAGAAATTCACCAAAGATCCTCCAACAGCACTTTCCACACCCATGACCACTTCCATTTGAAGGACAAGGACAGCAGATGTATGGGAACACCACCACGTTCAATTTCCCCTTCAAGCCGCTCACCATCCTGACTTGGAAATATATCACCGTTCCTTCACTGTCACTGGGTCAAAATCCTGCAATTCCCTCCCGAAGGGCATTGTAGGTCAAGCCACAGCAGGTGGATTGCAGCGGTTCAGGAAGCAGCTGGGGATGGGCAATAAATGCTGGACAACCAGTGATGGCCACATACCACAAATTAATAAAAAAAAATGTTGTGTTTGTTTTAAATGCTCTTCCTGCAAGCTGGATCAATTCTTGACGAGTATGTCAGCCAATGTCAGTGATTACATTTTTCAAATCTTTAATCTGTCTCGATGAAATTACTGAGTTAGTGCCAGAATGTAAATGATTTTGTGCTGGGGCCTCAGGTTCATTGGAAAAGTGACTTTGGACCATAAAGCATGAGGATATTGGCCTGAAATATTACCTTTACATTTCATGGAACTACTGTTGAAATGTGTACATCATAATGTTATATTAATGGCAATGTTTTCTGAATTAGGTAGCGCGACGTTGGGGAATCCAGAAGAATCGTCCTGCTATGAATTACGACAAGCTGAGCCGCTCACTGCGCTATTACTATGAGAAGGGCATCATGCAGAAAGTAAGAAACAAGCACGAGTCATCTTATTTATAATTTCTTCAAATGTTGGTTGAATAACATCTTGATGAGATACAATTATAGATCATGCTGATTGAAGTGGGGGAAGATTCCCAGCATATAGCACATTTCGATGCCATAAAATGGATTCCCATTGCTTTTAAGAAATATCCAATGCCTTTCTTGGAGCTCTACATTTGCATTCTTTTAATCCTCAGGTCTTACACTTAGTCAAATAATTCTCCAAAATGCCTCATCTAAATAATGATTGCTTCTCCATTCATTCCTGGCTTGGCCCAAGTTCAACTGGACAACATTGTACAGAACAAAGAAGTTTGAGCTGTTAGATATTTGCTGTGATGGCTGATGTAAGAGAATTATATTGTTCAGGTTTCCATCTCCTGAGTTTTGTTTTAACTTGGCCTGTATTTTGGAGACCAGAGTCATTTGTGATCTCCAAACTAAACACTTAAATATTCTGCCAACACCTGTTGACATTGCACAGTAAAATCTCAAAATATCTTAGCTTAATCTGCAATGGAGTAACACTTCTGGTATGTGGTTGTGCCCTTTGCCCCTTCTGATATTTTGAATCCAGTGCACTTGCACTTTTTAGATTAGCAATCTTGTTATTTTTAGTCGTTTCGGGGTACCTGCCTCAGTAAGAAAGAGAGATGTTGGTGTAGCACGTTACCCGAGCATGAGTGGATGACTGTGAGCCAACAATTAAAGGAGAAAGCTTCTAAGTTTCCAATTTAATATTTTTCCGCCCTCTCGCTGATAAGTGCTCCTCTTTGATAAAGTGCCAAATCCGGAAGAGAGACTTCTCTTTATAAATATTTTATATGCCTACTTATAAGATATTATATCTATGGTTCTTCAATGTAAAAATTATAGATATTTTGGAAAGGGTGAGTACAGAATCACAGGAGTGTTATAGTGCAGACGGAGATGATTTGATGCGTTGTGTGTACGTCAGCTCTGAGCATGTTGACTTAGTGCCAATCTCCTGCTTTTCCCCTTAATCTTGCAAATCGTTTCCATTTAAATAATTATCTAGTTTTCTGTTGAATGCCTCAACCGAACCTCCCTCAACCACTATTTAAAGCAGTGTGTTCTGGACCCTATTTACTCAGGGTGTGAAAGCTTTTTCTCACCTCGCTTTGGCTTCTTTTGCAAAGCACTTTTAAAGCTGTGCCCGAAATTAAGACAAAGAACTGTGGATGCTGGAAATCTGAAACAAAAAAACTCCAGAAATGACTAGAGAAACTCTGCAGGTCTGGCAGTACCTGTGGAGAGAAAACAGAGTTAATGTTAATTGTGACCTTCTTCACCCTCCTTAAGGAAAAAAATCCACTTGGTTAATTAGGCAGGATTTTCTCTTATTAAATCTGAATTAATTTATTTTTCCGTGAGACTATTAATCCAATCCTGAATAATTATTTCTAGAAGTTTCCCCAACCAGAGAAGCTTTCACACTGATCTGTATAGAGAAGTAAAAAGGATTCTTATTGAAACACAACTGACTGTCAATCCATAGAGAATAGATATTTATTGTTTTAAAGAATATCCGTATTGTTGGGAAACTATTCAAAGTGAAATACTTTGAAAACAAACCTCTATAATCTATCCAATAAGATATATGCCGAGCCCCTTAAAGCATTGATCCACCTCTTGTGCAATTTCGTATCCATATACTCTTTGTTAGGCCATTACCAAAATCTGGCTTATCACTCATTACTAAATCCAGTATGCAACCATTAATGTAATAGTGATTATAGTATGATTCAGTTCAAAGTAGCATTTGAAAGGGAGAAACTGATAAAATCTTCTGAGATTGTAGATTTAGGTGGAGCTGACTTCAGTGGATGAGGCAGAGATTGTCCCCTTTCTCCTGTTCGGCATCTTGAATTCTCTGGCTGTGAGTTGGTTCACCCCACGGCCCAATGACATCCACCACAAGTAGGGCAAGGAGGCAGGTCCTGAATCCAATCTAGTTGGAACATGGTTTGTACCTAGTGCTCTGACATCTTCCTGTTGTCCAGTTTAAACTACATAAATCTGTAAATACATAAAACCTCAGCAGTTCAGGTGGAAGTGTATGAAAACAACATCATGTGAATCAGGATCAGTTTGAACCCCGAACATAAGAGCTTTACAGGTAACAACATGATGGACATTGAAAGAGATGATATCCAACATTCAACTAAAAGAAAGTGCATACAAGAATCTAATCATTAGAACGGATCCTAACAAATTGGAGAAGTACAAAGAACATAGATTGACAAGGCTGATAGTAAGAGTGACAGAAAGGAGGTACAAAAGAAACTTGCAAAGGAAGTTAAAGTTAACAGGGGATTGGAGTTTACTGCTTTGGATCCACTATATCAGCAACAAATTTGGAATTGGCTCTTGCTAGTAGCAGGATCGATAGCACAATTTTCCAGAAGGTGACTTTATAACTAGCCATCTCTGTGGTTGCTCTCAATGCTGCTTGATCAGTCACATGGTTGGCAGCTCCGGCGTCCTGGCAGGCCCAATGGGAGAGGTAGGTACTGCCGAAGCAAGGTGTGGATCACATGTTCCCCTCAACATGAGGGTGCCCTCAGAAGTGTGAATCAAAATCAAAATCAAAAATGATGAAAATGCAAGCTGTTAATTCTCTCAATCGGGCTGCAAGTGTGTCTTTTCTTACCCACAGCCTGTCCTTGGGCATGGAAGCTGTGGCTCCTATATCACCCTAGCCTACTGCAGGGAGACCATTTCTGGTAAAGCTAAAGGCCTGTACATATGAAGACCTGTCTGTCAATGCCAAAATGCTGGCGAAGTTGTCAAATCTCTGTTAGTTGGGGCCTTGGCCAACCCAATTGTCTGCCTGCCTCTGTGGAATGACCAAACATACTATGAAAGCTTGGGGGTATTTACATCAGCATGGTTATCTGGGTTAGACTCTAGAAAATTGTTGAACAATAATTTTGATGTTTCTAATAGTAGGACTGAGATATTGACTGCAAAACCATGCACTATAATCTTCTGAATAGCAGAATAAGATCTCATAGAAATCAGTAAATGAAATACAGATGATAAATGAAGAGAACTTCATCGTTGCCTTTCTTTCACTGCTTGTTAAGTGAGAGGTGTCAATCCTGGACAATAGATCAATTTTATTTGACCAACTACTGTCAACAGAAGTTTTTTACATCTCAAATTCAGTACATGTAAAACGTAGATCAAAGTTTCCTCAACTTCAGTCCAAAAATTTGGATTTATAAACATCCTGAACAATTATTGCTTCTGATACACTTATTTCCTAAACAACTGTTTGATATTTCTGGGTAAAGTTAATTATTAATTTACAATGTGATGTCAGTTACAGGGATTTTATGCCCCACTATTAGCTATGCAAACATATTTCTCTTACGATCTCGACAGTAAACAAAACACTAGCCTATTATTCTGAAGTCTTAGAGGCGAAAGGAAAGTTGGCCATTTAAAATCCAGTTCTTGGAAATCTAAATCCTAGTTCTTGGAAAATTAAGTATTGGATAAGTGTACTGCCGTTACTGTTTTATTTTTCCAAACTAGCATCCAGTGCTGGAAGATTAGCAATGTATTGTATTTCCACAGTCAATCAATGTTATTCGTATAGGTTTCATCCAGTAAGGCAGCTGACATGGTGTGTTGTGTGAATGTGTGTGTGTGTGTGTTTGTGTGTGAGAGAGAGAGAGATCCACAGAGATAAATAACTTTAAAAATGATGTTCAGACTTCCAATTAGTAACTGAAAGAGTAGCAAGAAAGATTTCATGTTTTAAATCTTTTCCTGTAACAAATTATTAAATATACTATTGACCACCACTATTTTCTTTTTGTAGGCATCTTATACTTAGAATGATAGAGCAGAACGTTCTCATTTTACACTTATCACCCACCACACATCCCACGGAATTACAATCCCTGTAGCAAAAATTCCTCAGCTTCTCTTAGATTGAAATAGGTTCCCATATCCCCATGTGGCTGAGTAATATTTTCGCATGGCCATCTGCAGGTGCTTTCCATTTTTGAAGAGTTCCCCAAATCTACCACCAGCAGCTTTGTCTGCTCTAATTTTTCTTCTCCTTCAGCTTTCAGCCATGCCAGGACAAATCTTCTGGAATCGTTAGATTGCTAAGTTGGTTAGTCTATCTGACTTGAAACCATCTCCTTCCTGCATCTAGCTGTATTAACTTGTTCTTCACAGGTTTAATTTGCATATGGGTTCCAAACTATACGGCAACCAGAATCCCACTTCAGTAGTGGAGACTGGTGTTTAAGTGGCTAGCTGCCTCCATAAAACATGTATGCACAAAACCAGGCTTAACTTCATTCCCATCTTCACAAAATTAGGAAGTATTGTGTTCGAGGACAGCACTGCTAAATTTGGATACTTTACACTATGATAAAGAGCCTAGAGAGCCTGTCCATTGTGGCAAAATTTGTAATCTTGCACTCATCAGGACAATTTGCAAGAAGTAACAGTTCAAGAGGAAAGTTAACCTTTATAATGTTTGATAGGAGAGTGCTGATTGTTGGTAAATGGGCTCTTTATGCTTCTGTTTGGATTCCAGTGTATCCCTTTGGGGAGGTAACATATGGATAATATGGACAATATCCTAAAACACCTTTGTTAGTCCAGTTTCCATTTGGGGTCAGGTACTTTTTGGGAGATGGGAAATTGAGGTACTATTTTTGGGGTGAGGAGGTTAGAGAAGTTGGGCTCGTTGACAATATAGAAAATTGTGCCAGAAAGGTGCACAAACCCCTTGGAAAGAAGAAGCTATTTAAGAAGTGTGAAACCTGCAAGACTTGTCACACATATCGAGAACTGCCCAGAGCTGTCATTTCCTTTTGAATGAGGGCTGATATTTAGTACTTGGAACCATGGATTAATATGAATTGGCACGAAGTTGATGTGGGGTTATGAGGAATCAAGGGGGAATGATGCCCGAGTAGAATTGTTACTGGACTGTTAATCCAGAGACCCAGCTAATATTCTGGGGACCAGGGTTCAAATCCCGCCATGGCAGATGATGGAATTTGAATTCAATGAAAATCTGGAATTAAAAGTCCAGTGATGACCACAACTCCATTGTCGATTGTCAGAAAATCCCAACTTGTTTGCTAATGTCCCTTGCTGTCTTTACCTGGTATGGTCTACATGTGACTCCAAATCCACAGCAATGTGATTGATTCTTAACTGTCCCGTCTGGGAAATAAATGCTGGTCTAGCTGGTGATGGCCTAATCCTGTGTATGAATAACCAAAAAAAGACGAATCATGGGATGATTGACGTGGCTGGAGCGCAGGTATGAGGGCTGGAGGACTATGTTCTGTTTTATCCTATTATTTTACTTGGTAGGCAGTGTTGGAGCTCCAAAGCAGGCTGTCTGTGCTGCCTGCCTCAGAACCCAGCAGCCTTCTCATCTCTTTGCAGCTATTCCATCCTGACTTCCAATCAGTTTGTACTCTCCCGCCCTCCGGAATGCAAAGTGGGAAATGTGGATAACCATATTTAAACCAAGAGTTTCTCCCGCCTCTGTGCAAGTGACCTGGGAACATAATTTGGGCCTTAACCTCTAGACATAACACTCTTGTAAGATTTATAACAATACAGGAAAAATTGCAATGTATCAATTAGTATCTCTGATGAATCAGCAAATTTTAATTATGCTTTTTGCTCACAATATAAATGAAGGGAACAATGAAATGTTTTTATTTTCCCTTCCCTTTAAGTAAGTGCATAGGGTCATGTTTATTGTCTCGAGTTGATGTTCACTGTACGTTTAGATATTCTTCAGCCAGTAGAGATCCAGATCATTAACGTATCTGGTTTAATAAATATTGTCCTATCCTACAGTTACTGACAAAAAGCTCAAATAACTTCGTAGGAAAATTAACTCATCAGTAAAATCTTTCTTGTGATTGGTTTTTGCATTTTAACCTTTTAACCTTAAAGTTTTAAATTCTAGATTTAAGACTGGCTAGAAATGTAACCTTTGGCTACATTAGACTAATGATGCTTTTGGTTTGTTTTGAAGATTATGCGAAACTGTTTCTCTCCTTTCTGCAGGTCGCGGGAGAAAGATATGTGTATAAATTTGTCTGTGATCCAGAAGCGCTTTTCTCGATGGCTTTCCCAGACAACCAGAGGCCAGTGCTGAAAACTGATATTGAGCGCCATATCAACGAAGAGGACACAGTCCCTCTCTCCCATTTTGATGAGAACATGGCCTATATACAAGAGAGTGGCTGTTGCAATCCCCATCCATACAATGAAGCCTATGTGTACTGATGCAACCAATTTGGGGCAGTCACTCCGTGTTTGTTTTCTTTTCTCTATTATTTTCCTCTGTAGACCATGACCCAGGATTTACTTCATCTCTTCAGCATCTCTGACATCAAGCAGTGGGTCCACGGTTTCTGTCGCATTAACCCCATGGTCCACCACCAGGGACAGTGCACTTTATGAAAAGACTCATTCGAGTTCTACATGTTTTTTTCAGGGTAGGGTGGGTGGGGAGTGGGAATGGTTGGTGTTGGGGAGAGGGCAGTGGTTTTCATTTTAGCTTACATGCTTTTCTTTGGTGGGTAAGGAGGGATGGGAGGGTTGGGAATTGCAGTACATTTAAATGGTTTGATTGATGCTATCATATGGATTTTTGTTTCATATCAGCTAAAAAACTTACTAAGTCAAAGTTTCAAGAAATCTGCTGATATCAGTAATAAAAGAAATCGCATATCTAATATTGCTGTGTTAACACAGCCAGCACTCTTTAAAAATCTATATCTGAGTAGGTACATAGTACTTTTTTGTCAGGTACACATTAATATACAGTCAAGCATTTTACTGCTGTGTCATATTTGTTAAAAATATATGAATACTAGAATATGCTGAAGCTTCTGCTGCAGTCTCCTTTTCTGTAAATTCTTTTAAATGAGGGTTTATTGAAGACATTTGAAGTATTGCTCTCAGTCCAGGTAGTATTTCAGGACAATGAATAGACAACATGAAACATTTACTGCTTAGGATATAGCTTATGCTGTAGATATACTATAAGCAACTGTACGCTTTAGGAATTGGTAAAAAATTCTTCACCTGCAACTTGTAAAAGGAAATTTTTATGTGAAAGACTGACATCATTGGAAATCTATCTAATGTAACCTGTCAATGGCAATTTTTTTTATTTAAACCCACTTCAGTTTTCAAATCCAGACACTGAAGTAGCCATGACAAGATATGTATGACTTAGAATACAACCTGGTAAAAAGGGCAAGTTACCTTTGAATAGCTCTTGGAACTCATGAGCTACACTGAGTAGGATTGATATTTGAACATTTGTGCAGAGGTATAAACCCATTTATTTTGAACAGGTTAACATTTAGACAAAGGATTTTGATATGAACACATCAAAATTTCCTGGTCTAATCACTCAACATAATTTTAATGTTGTTCTCAGCAAGTAACTGTGCGAGGAAAAGACTCTCAAAAGCAGATGAGTTTTCATCAGATCAGGATTGTAACTCCAGTGTGTGACTGCCTTTTTCCTGATTAAGATTTTTCTCTAAAACAATTGGAGTAGCTACCTGAAAGCTACGCTGGTGTACTGGTGCTATATGTAGACAGCAGAACCTGTACATATGAAGGGACAGTGCACATGCCAGATTTGGCATTAATTGCATTCTATGTCATTTCTGGCAGAATACCATGATGTCAAAGTTACAGACATTCCTATAATGAATTTCTGTTGCTGTTCTAATCACTGAATGTGGAAGAAGTTTCTCTTCGTTTTCTTGAAGCTTAATGTTTCCTTCAGTCAATAAATGATCCTGTGGCTGTGAGAAGAAACCTATATTTTTCCCTTCTCATTAGAAAGCTGATTATTCTGCATTATTTTGGAAACCTAAAAATATTTGACGGGCATATATGTTTAGCAATTGCTATGCTCCTTTTCATATTAAAATATTTAATAGGTTTCTGGAAATCAAAACTAGGACATTTGTGTAGCTTTTAATCCTTGTCATATTGTTACTGTATTTTGCAAATGTATTCTGGCCTCTTGAAAAAAATACTCCAAATCTCTGATTTGTCCAGGTGAATAAGATGAATTTGAATATTGTCAAAACCTTTGCTTACCCCAGAGCAATCATCAAATAAACAATCATCAAACGGAAACCTTAAGAACATCACCACATTTGAATAACACAGTTTAATAATAGGAAGGAAAACAATGGAGATGAATGATACATTGCATTTTTGAAGCTTCTGATCCATTCCTCACCTGTTCATCGGTGAACAGTAATATTTTTGTTGTTTTGCTCTGTTTTCATCCCCACTTCACCCCAGTCTACTTCTATACCATTCTGGGGAAGGAGAGCAGCTGAAGGGAATGGTCATTTCACTGGGGCTTCAGAGTTCAGTGCCTCCAGCAATGACTGAAAGGTTTTCCATGCGTGATTTCCTATAACTGCTAATACAGTAGCAATTTCAAATAATCAACAAAACTTTGTGTGAGAAATCATTAAGTGAAAGAGGGTCATCATCATCTGAAAAGAGAGAAGACAAATTAGTTTTAAAAACCCTTCAGTCACTGCCCATATGTTGAAAGTAGACTGGAACAGTGACTTTTGCCTGAACTGTTCAGCTGTATAGATTTTGAATGTGCACCTCACAGCAGCATTGCTTGGTTATGATCATTTTCTTTTTATTTTGGGGCAGTCAGTTTGAGGAATCATTGAGATATACAGCACAAGAAAGGACCTTGCTGCTTCTTTGAAAGTTCCCCTCTCCAGCTTATCATCCATAGCCTTGCACACTTCTCCTTTTCAAGTATATATCCAATTCCTGATTGAAAATTACCATTAAGTAATTTGGCAAGAGCAAGAGTCTGTGATTTTAAATCTTGCATGAAGTGATATACAGTGCTGAAGGTATACCTAAGTATAAAAATGGACACAAATTTCCTTACCTATCCGACACTTTTCTGCTGGGGGAATGCTATAATTACAGTAAAATCATATTGCAATTCCATCGTGGGATTGAGTAACATTAATTTATAGCTGGGACCAACCAACATGTCCTCAAGTGAAATGGCACTAATTTGATGTTGTAATTGACAAACCACTTGCATTCATTCTTGTCATATATAGAATATATATAAAAGGGTTAATGGTCAACTTTAATCTGAATTTTCATGACTTTGGGATATTAATATGTGGACAGATCTGTTGGCTTGCTCTTTATGATTCTCTTCTTGAATTGTATTTCTAGTAATTCGCGTCAAGTGCAATCATGCCTGGTTCACATGGAACAAGTATAGGTGGAGTTCAGACTTTGGTAACTGATTCTAATTGTTCCCTTGTGGTTCAGTAGTATTCTCAATAGCTCTTTTCATTTTTACCACATAAAGCTTGTGGCAGAGTTATCCAGAAATGTAAGTTCCATGTTCAATCTGTGATGTGCAATCCAAGGCAAAAAAAAAGTAACCTGTTTTGTAATAGTTCACACACAAGGAGTTGTGGTTTTGAATATGGAGGTAAACATGCATTGTTGGGATTGATCCTGGGGCCTTGTTTAGCATCATCACACATATTAGGCTGAATGTCATGTTTCTCTGGCAGGAGGGCAGGTAGTGTAAAATTGGGTATGATGCCATAGGCACCTTCCTTGACATTTTACATGCATCGAGGAAGTGTTGGGTGACCAGCCTTCCTAAGGGCTGCTTGAAGTATTTAAATGCCAATTAATGGCTATTTATGGATCTGCCTTCTGCCCTTGAGGAAGGGTAGGGCCAAGTGGGAAGTCTGCCAGCTTTCACTGTATAGGCTGATAATGGGCAAGGATGGAGGCAGTTACTTCCTCTTCCATCGGAAGCCCCCACTAAGTCTGACACCCACCAACTTCTTCATTAACCCTGCCTTGACTCTGGCACAGTGTAAACTTCCACCTGCTGTGACTTATTTAGGAGTGTCTGATTTCTGTAATGCTAACATTGGGATTTTTTACTTTGCTGAACATAGAAAGGTAATAAGAGTTCTAAAATTAATTGTGGATTCTGCTCAGTTTTGCACATCTGGAATACAACCCAGCAGACCAGAGGCATTCGAGGTTTGATCCTATGTTGAGATTCCTGCTGTTAGTTATCAGTGGTGGGCACTGCAACAGTTGCTTAGACATCAGTCGAGGATAAAATTGGGTTTGGTAGTGTTAACTGGTGAAGTCAAATAGTTTGTTGACATGTGGAGCTAGAATTTATTGTAGCTCAGCTCACACCTGACAAAAGTTACTTGGAATAATGGAAATGGGTCTTTGGATTAGTTCATCATAGCCAATGCATTCAGCCCTAATCTACAGTTCAGATAGGACTCAACAATAATTTAAAGATCTAATCAGGATCTAAATAATGAATAGTCACTCCCATGAGGTATTGTTTTCTTTCCTCACTCAATATTTTTTAATCAGTTGTCTGTTAGAATTTCTTGCATTTCATACCAGGGTCAAATATTTTAAAATAGTTTTTCTTCTAAAATCCACAAATAATAACCAAAAATTCCGAGAGTCAACATTGGAAATTTCAACAATGTCCTGACAATGAAACCTTCCCTGCATGTATTTGTACATGTACTGTACTGAATCCTTTTACGTGTCACAAGCATTTTTTTTGTTATTGCAACACTTAACGATGTAGATTCTACATGAGATATTAAAGCATTGATCTTAAAGCTTCTCCCTGTCGTTAGACAATATGTTGTGGTGCCATCACTTCATCTTCACGTTTGTGCCAGGTGAACCAGGCATTGTGTTGAAGAGTCCTCGAAACAAGACGGAGGCAAAAGCAAATTACTACATCTGCCTGAAGATAGCCATCTGGAAATCTAATGTAGCAAAAAAAAGAGACAATATCGAGGGACATCTGTAAATGATGGACAGTATTTTTTCTGCTGTTTCTGAGAAATTTTCTAAATTTTTGTAATTTTGTATTTATCATGTATGTTTTGGTTTTATATGGCCACAAAGTAGCATTTGGATTAATAATGTAAATCTCATTGTTGTTTAATTTTCCTCAGCTAAGGCTTTGAGCAATTTGAAGGGTTCATGGATTTCTTGTATTGCTTTATGATTTTATTTTGCTTAATGAAGAAAACTGTAATAGCATAATAAACTGTTCAATTCCTAAGGAACTCTTGACATATGTAGTTTGATAGAACATATTCTAGCAATGTTTCTTTTTATTTTTCATTTTCTTTTTTATACATTGAGCACAATCTTGATGGAGTTATTTAAAGCACATTTCTTGGACTTGTACAAGTCTTGGTGTTGATTTCTAATTAGACATGACAATGTCACAAGAGCATTTGCTGTATGTGCCATCACTTGCTATCACCTGCATTTCTATTGTCAACATTATTTCAGTCACTAGTATAAAAAAAGAAAATGCATGACAGACTTGTAAATGTAATCAAGAACAAGTGGTGGTTAGGAATCACTATATTACCTGAATGCATGATGT